TATTTCTATATACTTGTGATGAACAATCTGAAAATAAAATTGAGATAATCCATTTAAAATAGCATCAAAAAGAATAAAATACTTTGGAATAAATTTAACAAAAAAGTACACATTTTATGCTCTGAAAATTACAAAACATTGTTGAAAGAAATTAAAGACTTAAATGAGTGGAAAGACATCCCATGTTCATGGATCAGATGGCAATAGCTCCCAAAATGACCTATAGATTCAACACAATCCTTATCAAAATCTCAGCTTCCTTTTGCAGGAAGGTGATCTTAAAATTTGTATAAAAAATGCAAGGGACTCAGTATAGCAAAACAATCTTGAAAAAGAACAAAGTTGGAGAACTCATGCCTCTCGATTTCATAACTTACTACAAAGCCACAATAATCAAGACAGAATGTATTGGTTTAAGGATAAACATATAGATTAATGGAATAGAACTGAGAGTTCAGAAATAAACCCTAACATTAGTGGTCCAACGATTTTTTTTTTTTGCCTGCATCGGGTCTTAGTTGTGGCACACAGGATCTTTGTTGCGGCATGTGGGATCTTTTGTTGTGGCGTGAGGGCTTCTCTCTAGTTGTGGCGTGTGGTTTTTCTCTCTCTAGTTGTGGTGTGCGGGCTCCAGAGCACGTGGGTTCTGTAGTTTGTGGCACGCGGGCTCTCTAGTTGAAGGGTGTGAGCTCAGTAGTTGTGGTTTGCGGGCTTAGCTGCCCTTAGGCATGTGGGATCTTAGTTCCCCAACAAGGGATCAAACCTGCATCCCCTGCATTGGGAGCCGGATTCTTTACCACTGGACCACCAGGGAAGTCCCAATGGTCCATTGATTTTTAACAACAGTGTCACATCAATTCAGTGGGGCAAATAATAGTTTTTAGAATAAATGACGCTGGGACAACTAGATATCCTCATGCAAAAGAATGAGGTTAGACCCCTATCTAACACTATATACAAATATTAACTCAAAATAGATCATAGGACTTCCCTGGTGGTGCAGTGGTTGAGCGTCCGCCTGCCGATGCAGGGGACGCGGGTTCGTGCCCCGGTCCGGGAAGATTCCACATGCCGCGGAGAGGCTGGGCCCGTGAGCCATGGCCGCTGAGCCTGCGCGTCCGGAGCCTGTGCTCCACAATGAGAGAGGCCACAACAGTGAGGGGCCCGCGTACTGCAAAAAAAAACAAAAAAAAATAGATCATAGACCTTGGTGTAAGAGCTAAAACTATAAAACTCTTAGAACAACACACAGGAGTAAATCTTTATGAGCTTGGATTAGGTAATGGCTAAAGCAACAAAAGAAAAAGTAGATGAATTGGACTTCCTCAAAATTAAAAACTTTTGTCCTGCAAAGTAAACCATCAAGAAAGTGAAAAGACAATCTCCAGAACAACAGGAAATATTTGCAAATCATAAGTCTAATAATGGACCTTATGGAGAATATATTAACAACTCTCATAACTCAATAATCAAAAGATAAATAACACAATTACAAAATGGCAAAGGATCTTAAAAGACAGCTCTCCAAAAAGGATATACAAGGGGCTAATAAGCACATGAAAAGATGCTCAACATCATTAGCCATCAGGAAAATGCAAATCAAATCCACGAGATACCACTTCATACCCAGTAGGATGACCATAATTAAAGAGACAGATAAGGACAAGGGTTGGAGGATGTGAAGACATCTGAACCCTTATACACAGTTGGTGGGAATGTAAAATGGTGCAGCCACTCTGTAAAACAGTTTTCAGTTCCTCAAAATATTCAACGTAGAGCTACCATATGACCCAGCAAATCCCCTCCTAGGTATATACCCAAGAGAAATGAAAACGTATGTCCACAGAAAAAATTGTAAACAAATGTTCATAGCAGCCTTATTCATAATAGCTAATTAGTAGAAACAGCCCAAATGTTCATCAATTGATAAATGGGTAAATAAAATGCAGTACATCCATAGAGTAGAATATTATTCAGCAATAAAAGCAATGAAGTACTGATACACACTACAAGATGCACAAATCTGAAAAACATTCTACTAAATTAAAGACTCCAGTCACAAAAGACTATATATTATATGATTCCATTCATATGAAAAGTCCAAAATAGACAAATCTGTAGAGATAGAAAGTGGGCTGGTGATTGCCAGGGGAGTGGGAAACAACTGCTAATGGGTATGGGATTTTTCTTTTCTATATTTAAAAAAAAGTTTAGGACTTCCCTGGTGGCGCAGTGGTTGAGAGTCTGCCTGCCGATGCAGGGCACACGGATTCGTGCCCCGGTCCGGGAGGATCCCACATGCCGCGGAGCGGCTGGGCCCGTGAGCCATGGCCGCTGAGCGTGCGCGTCCAGAGCCTGTGCTCCGCAACGGGAGAGGCCACAACAGTGAGAGGCCCGCGTACCACAAA